GATTAACAAAATATGACTCTAGTAAGAGTCAAAGTCATGGTAGATTAAATTCTCAAGGAATGAAGAATTTCATTTATACCATTGTGGCAAGAGAGAGCATGCTAAGAAAGATTGTTAGCTTAGAGTAACATAGATTGAAGTCTTGTCTTGCTTCAACATGCAAGGGTGTAAGTCATTTTATACCCTACTTTCTATCAAGTAAGTGTCCTCAAGTATGAGTCCTAACAATGAAGTGGAGAGGATAAAAATGTCTCGAGTATTATATGTATCAGCAGTGGGCAGTCTTATGGATACCATGATCGATACAAGACCAGACATTGCACAAGCAGTAAGAGTGGTTAATAGATTGATGACTAATTGTGGTGGAGAGCAAGAGTATTATTAAGAGGATTCTTATCAAAAGTATCTTGGATGTTGTATTATGTTTCGAAGGATCAGAACTAGTTGTCAGATATTCTATTTGTTCAGGTTTTACAAGTGATCTTGACATGTTTACAATTGTAGGAGAGACACAATATTGTAGCTTTATTTAATATATAAGTTAAGTACATGGAAGCCACCCAACATGTGAGAAAGTTATCTGGATTAAAAAACATAATGGAGGAACTCAAACACATATAATAAAAGATTGTTGTGTATTGTGAGAGTTAGAGTGTCTTACACATTAAAAGGAATCATGTCTCACATTTCCATGACAAAACAAGAAGAACCTAGCAAATGTTTAACAGACGGTTAGTAGTGACAAATTTATAATTTATATAGGTTAATCCTGTTAAAGGCCTATTGGAAAAAATATCAACATGGAAACATATAATAATTGATGAAGAAGCTTATAGGAAGAATCTTGGAAGACTTGTTGGAAGATTTGATGAAGTGAAAAGAAGATGTTGTTTTAGTCCATTAGTGTATCTACATCTACATTTTGTAGATATGAGCATCTATCTTCTCGTCAAACATGAGTGTCTTTCCTTTACAAAGTATAAAGTGCCTCAAGTATTTTTAATATGTTAAAAATCATTTTAATCGCTTAATAAGGTTTTTAATTGATATATTTTCTAAATAATCGATTAAATTTACTTAAGCAACTAAAGAACTTGTGTAGTCACAGTTTTAATTGATATGTTTTTGAAATAATCGATTAAATTCACGTAAGAAGCTAAAGAACTTTTGTAGTCGCAATTTTAATTGATACATTTTCGAAATAATTGATTAAAAATACTTATACATTTTTGTATCGCAATTTTAATTTATTGAACCACGTTTTTATCAATTAAAACATCTCTAGAAAATATCCAAAACTCTTTTAATTGATTAAACCACATTTTCATCAGTTAAATCATCCTTGGAAAATATCCAAAATTCTTTTAATCGATTAAAGCATGTTTTTATCGGTTAAAACGTCTCGAGAAAAATTAACAAAACATTTTTAATCGATTAAAAAATATTTTCATTCGTTAAATTCTTTTAAACTAAATTGTTTTAATCGATTAATCATATTAGTTAGTTAGAAATATGTCTATATAAATAAACTTCTAACTACATTTTGAAATACACTTTTGAGAAATCATTCAAGCAATCTTTAGATATACTGTTCGAAGAGAGAATTGTGTTTTATTCTTTAGAATTCTTTTGAAATCATTCTTGAGGCTCTTTATTCTTGTTTTTTTTAAGAAACTCATTCTGTTATTGGATTTTTGTTTCTGCATTTTCATTTGTTTGTTGTAATTTCTTCGAGTATCTTAGATTCTTCATCCAGTTCTTTGTATTTTTGGTGTCCGAAATTGTGAGCACCTGGTTTAAGTAACTAAAATTGTAGTTGTAGGACTTGATTGTAGTTCTTGATGTAGATTGATTTTCTACAGTTTTCACTTGTAATCAATTGAATTTTGATTAGTGGAACTCAACTAGAATTAGTTGAGAAGCTGGATGTGGTCCAGTGGATTGGGTGAACCAAGTATAAACTTGATGTTCTTGTTCTTCTTTCATCTCATTCTTTTATTCAAGATTGTTGTTATTTGGTTCAAGTTAAGACTGTTTTTTTTAAATCTTTGAAATTATTAATCTGTAATCAAAAGTTGCGAAAAGTTTTAATTAGATCAATTTACTCCCCCTCTTGATCCCAACTTATATTTCTAACAATAATGTGCAATGTATATTTGATTATTTTAATCAAAATCTTCAAGTGGGAAAATGTGAGAAGAGAAGACCCATATTAGAAAAAATATATGTTAGTATTTATTTTTTCTATTATAAAAGGAGCATAGTATTTACATTGTAAATTAGCTCAAAATCACTTCTTTCCTTCTTTTTTCTACTAGTGCATTGTATAGTAGTTTAGCTATCTTATTTCTTAAAAATGATATTATTATTTTCTCCTTATATTTAAAGAGGTTCTATTATAATCTATTATCGATTTTGTTTTTCTTTTCTCATCTCTTATTTTGGTTGTGAGTTTTTATATAATCATAATTAAGGGTGTCAAAATAGATTTAGTTTTATTATCAGATATGAAAGATTCGAGAAATAAGTCAGACTATATTAAAAAATTTGTGGTTTAAATTGAATCAAACATATTTTGACCCACCAATTTAGGTCATGACTTATATAGGCTTAGGTCAGGTTAGCTCGTAAACTTATGAGTCAACCCATTTATATAATAATCATTATTTTTAAAATAAAAATAAAATTATTTTATATTAATTTGATAGAGATTATGGGTTCTAAGTTTAAATATTAGAATAAATATTCAATAATCACTTGTTTTAAAATTTAATTATTAATATTAATTACTATTTTAAATTAATAAATTATTAATAACGAGTAAGTTTTTAATTCTTATTTTAAGATGAAATTGATGCATTCTCTTGTAATTTATATATTAAATCATTATATTTAAAAAAAAAACTAATTTTATTAATAAATTTTAAATTTTTAAAATATATTTTTTTATTTAAAATATATTTTTAATTAATTGATTTTGTAAATCTTTTAATTTAATTTGGTTAAAATTTGTCTATTAATCTAACATAAAATCATATTAAATTAAAAATATTGATTCGTTTTAAAATATAAATCAGTTTAATCATCAATTTTTTTAGTTAGAGCATAAGATGAGGGATGACTACCCATTTTGATAATTACAGTTATGGAATATGGGTTTCTTTTGTTAAGACCGTAAGATGAGACGGAACTGCCCATTTCAATAATTCTATGGAATATGTGTTTGTTTTGTTATATATTTTATTTTGTTGTGAAGGAAAATGATAACGAGTATTCTTTCTTTTATTAAAATTAGTTTTTTAATGTGTTTTGTTTTTTATAAAAATCTTATAATTTTAATTTTTATTATGTAATTACATGAAACATAATTAAACTATTTATATAATAGTCAATTGTTAATTTTGTTGTACGTTCAGACCTTCTAAATGATTTTACAAATATAAAAAATAAAGTTAATTTTTTTTTCAATTTTTATTTGATCATATAATTTAACAAATGTTAATTACTTAAAATTAAACCATTAATACTTTGTGTTTAGAAAAAATAAAACTGCATGTTGAAAAATTGCTATCCCAACCAATATTTTAATATGAACAGTAATTCTGTTATTAAAAAAAGTAGAGAGATACTATATTAATTATCAATTTTTTTTATTTTTTTGAATTATTTGTAATATTATGTAGGAAGGATTTTCCACTTAATGACAATTGATATATAATAGAAATATTTAATTATATATTATTATAAATTAATATATATATATATATATATTTCTTAAATGAAAATTAATATAAGTATTACATTTTTAATATATTAAATAAAGTAATATAATAAAAAAGTATGAATCAATTTTATAAATAATATATTTTAACTAAAAAATTAGTTGAATAGAATATTTGTGAATTTATTAATAGAAATATATTTGTTCTTTTTTCATAACTTTTTTTATGATATTTTTCTTTCTTCTTGTCCCCTTCTTCTCTCTTATGTATTTTTCTTTCCTTGTTCTTCTAATTACAATTATTAACTAAAATTTAATAAAAATATATTATTGTAAATTTTTCAAAATTAATATTAAAACATTAAATAATATTTTAAAATTATAACATAGTAAATAATTTTATTTTTTATAATAATAAATAAATAATTTAAATTTATTTTAATATAATAAATTAATTACTCTTCTAATTAAAAAAATATCAAATATATAAGTTAAATATATGTTTATTTTATAATTTAATCTAGTTATAATTATATTGAGTTATGATAATTAGTTAGATTAATTAATTTTAAAAAAATATTAAAAAAATATTGTAACATAAATATTTAATATTTAATAATTAATTTTAAATAAATATTAATTTTTTAATAATTATAAAATAATAATAATAATATTTGTAATATCTCAAATTTATTATATAATATTTTTTAAAATATAATATATTAAATTATAATATTTTGAATAATTTTTTTCAAAAATAAAAAAAAATCTATTTTATCAAGTTTCAATTTAATATTTTTGATTCAAAAAATTAGATATTTTTAATTGAAAAAAATAAGATAAAATGAGAGAATGACTAAAAAGAAAAAGCAGACAACAAAACATTGAAAGAGATATGAGAAAAAATAATAAGAAATAAAAAAAGGAGATATAAATAATTATATTCTAACAAACTAATTTATTTTTTATCATTAATTTTATATATAAATAATATATAAATATATATATATATAAATAAATTTATAAATATTCTATTTAAATATTTTTTTAATATATCATTTATGAGTTCTGTTGAAAATGCTGATGAGTTAAAACAGGATTAATTCGTCACAGAAATATTATTAACATTTTAAAAAATTCAGTGTTACTAATTTTGAGTTTTCATTAAATCTTGAACGACTTATTCCGCAAAAAATTAAAGGAAAAAAAAAACGTTTTCTTTCTCTTTCTCAATTAAACCCTACCCTACCTCTGATAAAACAAAAAATTAAACCCCAAAATGGCAACAGCCTCAGAGAACAACACCAACGCCACGCGCCCCCAGCGCCAGGCCAAGAAGAGAGCGGCGGCAGCCATATGTGAACTGCTCGGAAACGCCAAGAAGAAGCGCGTCGTTTTGGGAGACCTCACCAATGTCTCAAACGACGTTGCCGTTTCGGAGATTCAGAAACGGAAAAAAGTTAAACTCAAGAAAATCGATGAAAGAAGCGACCCTCGACTCTGTGGGCCCTACGTTTCTGATATATACGAGTACCTTCGCGCAATGGAGGTCCTACCAGGGTTTTTCATTTTTTTTACTTTTTTTCTGATGGTTAAAACTGTGTCGTATTGGGAATTATGTCAGGTTTCTTTTTCTGGCTCAGGTTGTTCCTAGTATGCGACCGTTGCCAGATTATGTTCAGAGGGTTCAGAACGATGTGGATGGTAACATGCGCGGTGTTCTGGTGGATTGGTTGGTTGAGGTTGCAGAAGAGTATGAACTGGTTTCGGAAACGTTATACCTTTGTGTGGCTTATATAGATAGGTTTTTATCTTTGAATGTATTGTGCAGACAGAGATTGCAGTTGCTTGGGGTTGCTGCAATGCTCATCGCTTCGTGAGTTTTTCAAATACTTGAAATCTGGATGTGAGTTTTGTGTTGTGATTGCTAAGTTTTTAAGAAATTTTTGTTTTTATTGTTTTTGAAAATAGGAAATATGAAGATATTAAGCCACCTCAGGTGCAGGACTTGTGCTACATTACGGATCATACATACTCTAAGGAAGAGGTGGTTCCTGTGTTTCATTTGTTGTTGGTGTTACTGCATTCTTTGGGTCTGGGTTTTGCTTATTTTTGCAATCTTTTGGTGATGAAGATTGTGAATATGGAAGGCGATATATTGATGGCTTTGAAGTTTGAATTGGGTGCCCCTACAGTGAAAACATTCTTGAGGTGTGTTTCTTTGTTGATTCTATGACTTTGCTGCATTGATTTGTCTTGTTTTAGTTGTTTTTTTCCTGGCTCGCTGGTTTACTCTCTGTATGCTTTCCCATGGTTGCAGGAGATTTTGTAGAGTTGGTCAAGAGGGTGTTGATGTAAGTTAGCTCTTCCTTTGACCCATTTGTTAAAGCTATTCACAAGCATAAAATTTATTCTTATAGCAGCAACTAACTCTTTTTAATGTGAATTGCCAAGAACAAAAATTTTCTCAGTTGTTCAATTCAATAGAATTTGGAAACCATATCCTTAGATTTTGTTTTTTTCTCTAATGTACGCAATGGATGTTGTGTTCTTCATTCTCTTGTCATTTCTGGCGAGTCGTTGACAATTGAACTTTTTAGTTAGTATTATGTCTATTTTATGACTTTTTTATTTGAATTCAACTTATTCTTTTTTCACATATAATTGATTTATATCTATGAGATGATTTAAATTTTTACACATGTATAATTCAACCATCAATTGAGATTCATATGATAATAAGAATATTCAGTGACTTTGTATCTTGCAATATGTGATTGAATCAATTCAATTTTGTATTATTGATACAGATTATACACTACTCAACTATTTGTAATTTTTTTTTTTATCTTTTTTACTTTGTTTCATTAATTCTCGTGGAGAAGTTTGAAAAATTATATAAACTTAAATTGTTAAATGGAAACGATTTGAAAAAGCACTTTTGAACATTATCTTATTTGGTTTGATATTCTGCTATTTTATTTGTTACCAACTCATTCATGCATTCATTCTATTTGGATATTTTATTGCTTCATTTCAGCTTTCCCTCTCCGGTATAACTAATAATTTTACTTTATAAAATTTATTTTGAAGTTTCTTTATTTATTTCTATTTGAAGTGTATTGCATTAAATGCTATATATAATCTATGATCTATATGACATATTTGAAGTCATTTTTTATTGTTTGTTGAATTTTATGATTTAATACAAATTGTGATTGATGATTCAAAAATTCGCCTTACAATTCACGTTTTGAATCTTGATTTTGGAACCTGATTTTATACTGTTATGCATTATTTGCGTTATTTGCCTGTGACACACTCTACAATATTATGTAGCAAATTATTGCTTGCCACCATTTGTTGAATTTTAATTTTTTGTGGGTTTGAAAAATGTTTTATTCAAATTGGACCGGGTTTGACTAGAAATGGGAAATGTTGCCGATCCTGTTGAGTATTTGTATCAGTTATGTAGTTGGTACAGTAAAAAATTGATTAATCGGTAGAATTGGACTCAGCTGGTCTGCTTGTATTTTACAACAGCAACAGTCCTTCTCTACACTTCCTCCAACTTGACATGTCTCTGGTTATGTAGCCTTGCTATCTTCACTTTTGTGTGTTGTTTTTTCTGTGATAAACATCCTACTGAAAACTTAGGCCTGAATCAACATGACAGCTGCTGCCATTGTTTTAATTTTTATAATTTGATTATGTTGAAACAATAACTCTTCATTTTAAATTATTTTGTTAAAACATTAAACTTGCACTGCTGTCTCCACATCGGTGTAAAAACTGCTGTCTCAAGTTGAAAAATTTTCTCAACTAAAATAACTTTGTGAAAATAAGTACATAACATCTTATATATGTATATCGATAATATAAATGTAAAATTTACAAATTTAATATTTATTGGTTTATATAGTTCAATCAATGACTTTCCGGATCAGGTATTAACCTAGTACCTTGACTAACTATAACTCTGCTTTCATCATTTGGTTAATAAGCTTATCCCACTGTGCAGACTTCTGATCTCCAGTTTGAGTTCCTTAGCTGCTACCTTGCGGAGCTAAGTTTGTTGGATTATTATTGTGTAAAGTTCTTGCCATCTTTGGTGGCCGCATCTGTTATATTCTTAGCAAGATTTATGTTAAGCACAAAGACACATCCTTGGGTAATATTTTTTTTTTTTAAATGTGTATATGAAATCCCATGTAGATTGTGGAGGATATTGCTGAATTATTTTTTCACAGAATTCGTCTCTCCACCAACTCACTAGATATAAACCTGTTGACTTGAAGGAATGTATTCTAAACATACATGACTTGTATCTCAGAAGGAGGGGGCCTTCTTTGCAAGCTGTGAGAGATAAATACAAACAGCATAAGGTATTTTTTTTTTATCCTACCATATGTTGTTTAAAGGATGTAATCTTTTCTAAGTCACTATCTTTTTCGTTCTGTTTGTCACATTGGAGAAATGTGCTGATTCTAGTTGCATTGGATGTTTTGGTACAGTTCAAATGTGTGGCAACAACACCATCTCCTCCCGAGATACCCCTTTCTTTTTTTGAATTTTCAAGGATAGATTCTTAGGCAATTGTGATTTGGCAGAAGCCTATTTCCTAACACTAACACTAACGGCAAGGTTTCACTCTTTCGGTTACATATTACGATTAGGGAGTTGATTTTTGTTATCCAGCTTGTATAAAAATGTTATAAGCACCATGTGTTGGGAGTTAGGTTCTTTTTTGGCAATTAGAAGTTCCTTGAAGGATTTGCAATTTCTATGTATAGGAAGTTCTGTACGAGTTCATTGTAGTTCCATTCTAAGATGTACAATCCATGACGTTCAGAAATCAATATTTCATCAGTAAACAAGTGTTAGGTTTCTTGCATTTTTAACGCAGCTATTTTCTCTGAGATTGTCTGTGCTTCTCTGAATAAAATATGTGATAGAATATAACCGGTCATTTGTGCTTAACTTTCTGTCTTTTAGTCTATGTTAGTAGCACGCTATAGCAGTGGGGTTGGTGGAACAGGGTAATTTTGGAAGAGGATGTGCCTCCAAGTTGTGTCAATGCAAACACCATTGATTTGCATTGGAGCATAATCTTTTTTTGTAAGTCAAGGCAATGCAACATGTCTGAACAAGAGTTACAGACTTGGTAATTGTATTCATAAATGACTTGCCAACTCTTGGTACATTTAACATGTGGTATATATTTTGTTTTAACTTACTTGTGAGAAAGCTTATGAAAAATAAATTATTCCTTTTTACATTTAAACATTATCAAGAATGCCCTTGGTCTGTTGTTCATGATTAAACTGATTGCCGAATCCTACGTTTGAATTTTGCTGAATCCTTCCTTTGGTTTTGGGGGAAGTTTGTGATTGATATTTGATCCCGGGGTGATGGGGAGTATTTAAAAAGGGTGGAAGGGAACTTAAAAAGAATGATTCTTATTGAATATTTTAATTTATTTAACTACTAGTTTTCTGCAAATTAAATTTGAGATTTTAGGATTTAGAAAATGGAAAACACGTATTGAAAAGGAAATCAAGAATTGAAATTGAAATGGAGAAGACTAAAACAAATTAAGCGACAAATTTAAGAGCCAAACAATCCTTTTATGATAATTTTCTAAAAATTTATATTTAAGTTTGAATAATTAACTGATTTAATTAATTAATTAAACTGGTTATATGAATTAAACCAAAATATTATTTAATTTAACTCATTTAATTATTAAATCAAAATTTAAATTATTGATTTTTAAAAATAAAATCAAAAATTGATATTACAAAGAGAAAATTATTAGATAAGATAAGAATAAATTTGGAATAAGAAATGATTGGTCCCAAACTTAATTTGACATGTTGGATCTATTGATTTGGTGAATTGATATTTAAGGTATAGTTTTTAATAGATGAAAGATAATTTCAATATTGAGCAATGAATTTGAAAGCATACAAATAATATTAATTTCAAAGTCATGAAAATCTAGAATCTAATGAAATTAGTCAACTAAAAATAATATTTACATAAAATGTTATGGTGAAAACAATAGGCAAACGTTATTTATATATATATATATATATATATATATATATATATATATATATATATATATATATATATATATATATATATATATCAAAAATATTAATGTGTGTGCAAAACATGTATTCTAAAATTTGATGTATAATCTTGTTACATAAAAAAGAAAAAAATAAAATGTGATTTTTTTATTTTGTGAAAATGTTGAGTTTAGAAGATTTTTATGGCTAAGATTCCTCTTGCAATATTTTATATAAACATTTTCACATAACATATTAAATTATATTGTGATAATTAAACGGTTTATGAAATTGTTTATAATTAGTACAACATGATCGAACAAAACATGTTAAAGTGAATAAAAATTTTTATCAAAAAGAAGTTAAAAAAATTATAGAAATATTTATCATTTTGAAGATAAATTAAATAATATGTTAGAAAAATGTTAATGCCTAAACACATCCAAGAGGGAGGTGAATTGGGTTTTCAAATTCTTTTCAACTTTAATCAATTGTCAAAGAATTTGTTATGATAATCAAATACAAAACAACTAGAACAGTATTAAGATCACAAGAATATCAAGATAAGAAAAAGAAAGAAAAAAACACAAGAGTTTATACTAGTTTGATTCTTTTGAGGACATCATCAAAAAGTGATTTTCAAATAAACTTCCTTCTTCATTAACAATATCTCCCTTTTTTTATGATGACCAACTAGTAGAGCATACAACATAAACTCTTCTCTAACCAGTATAGCAAAATAGCAACCTAGTATAGCAAAACAACATAAACTCTTCTGCCCCTTTGGACTTAATAAAAAAAAAAAGGTTAAACATAGAGTTGGAAGAGTAATAGCATAAAAAACAAAAACAGCGTTAGATAAAAAAGTTATATCAAGTATTAGTAGTTACAAACCAGCAAATTAATATGTCAAATATTAGAATGCAACAAAGAAATTGTTCAGGCACATTTAAACATATGATTAAAAACATCACTCATCATCATTGGAAGATAGTTCAACTATTTCGTCATCTGCATCATCACTTCCTTCATTTTCCATTTTTGTGTCATCTTGTTCTTATTCTAATATGGATAAAATAGAGGATACTTGATCATTCAAACCGTCAAATCTAGAGCAGTAATACTCATGTTTCTCTTGTTGCCAAAAATGTATTTTATTCAATTTCTCTAACATACTCTGTTTTGAAGAATCAACAAATTCTTCCTCGTCTTTGAAGAATCAACCATCATCTTCTTTGATCATTCCCATGTGGTGAAGAGCAGATTCGCCTATTGCATTTGCATGACTCATAATGGTAAATGATTCTCCCTCCACATTTACACCAACATACTCAAAAACTTTTGACAGAAAAACAATAAGGTAATGGATATAAAGACAACCTATATGATTCCCTCATATTATCACTAACAATAGTAGGTCAATTAATATGAAATCTTGATTTGAGAGTATGTATAATATACATATGTCTTTAGAAGTTAGTTGTAGGCATGACAATGGGACGGGGACAGGTTTTGCCTCCTTGATCGTTGCCCCAACTTTTTTAACCGTCCCCGATTCCCGTCGAGTTTAGAAATTAAGTCTTCATCCCCATTCTCGTTGAGTTTTGGGTTTTCCAGTCCCCAATCTATATTATTTTTTTAAGAATAATTATATTTATAATAAATTAATTTTACTATTTTTTATACATAAATAAATATTTATAATTTTACAATTTGTAATTATTATTAATTAAATATATTTTTTAATTTATTATATTTATATTAAAATATGTATGTAAAAGAAATATTTAATCATTTTTTCTTTATACAAATATAGAATATTTATCACATTATAATAATAATAATAATAATAATAATAATAATAATAATATATTCAAACATTTGAATACTTATAACATTATTATTATTATTATTATTATTATTATTATTATTATTATTATTATTATAATATTGTATTCAAACATATGATTACATGTATAAGTTATTTCCTTTTTAATTTGTCATTTAAAAATATGAAATATATAGTTTATAAAGAAATATTTAATAAGTTAATTCTTATTTAATTAGTTCAAAGTAATAAATGTTTAAATTATTAATTCTTTTTAATCATTTAAAATATAATTATTTTATTAATATAAAATTTGATATATGACAAATAAGAATAATAAGATCCAAAAAATATGACATAATAAAACTTAATAAATATAAATTATAAATAAAATAATATTAGTTACTATTAAGATTTATATAAAATATTTAGAAAAAGATAAAGAAGAAAAAAATTAATTTTGTATTCATCAAATTGGTTGAAAAGATTGAAAAAAAAATTAATTGGAGAGATTAAGGAAATGTGAAAAAAGCTGAAAGGTAAGAGAAAGAGAATAATGTATTATGATAATTAATATAAAAGATTAAAAAAGACAAAAGAATTAAAAAGTGGTAGAAGAAAAGTAGAAATGGTGAAATATAAAAAAATAACCTTATATCTAATAGAAAAAAAAGTAAATACTTTTAAAATATTAAAATTTTAAAATTTAAATTTAAATATAAATATAAAATTGGAACGGGGACGGGGTCGGGATGGGGATTACATTACCCATCTCTGCCCCCGCTCTCGACTTTTTAAAGTGTGAAAAACCCAAACTTGCCCCGGTCAACTCGGTATTCATCTCAATGAATTTTTCTAAGCCTTGATATACTAACAAATCTTGAAACAAAAAACCATTTGTCTAAAAAATGAGAAAGAGAGATACTTATTAGTAATTAGTCTTCTTTCCTTCCAGTGAATGAGAAACTCCTCCCTTTGTTCATCATCACTAACCCAACCTTCTGTAGAAGAAGCTCTTGGAGGTCTTTTGAAAGTTGTTCTCTTCATTCTCTTTGATTTTGCAGTGGAAGTCATTTTATCATAGTAATAAGAAGAAAATTTGGAAGAAAATGAGTAATAAGAGAAGCTCTGTAAGCAATGGAGGTTAGGGTTTCGAAGGAGAGGCTTAAAGGAAGATGAGAGAGTGTGAAAATGAAGTTGGTAAAGTGTAGTGTGCAGAGGATTTTAATTGAATTAATTTTGTACATATGATAATCAATTATATAAGTGGATAATTTATTAATAACGCCGGCACCAAAGTCTCGAAGAAGGTTATTTTAATCGATTATATAAGTTGATAATAGATTATCAGCGCACCTTATAATTTTCTAAAATTTTCAATCAATTATTTTTATTACTAATAGATTATTTTACATCCCCTGGAGGTGATCTAATCGATTATATCAAATATTAATCGATTATTTTTATCAGATTTTATGCATAATAATTTTTAATCAAAGGAATTTATATGTAGTATACCTAATTCATTTCTAATAGTATAAAAATTTTCCCTAGTCAATGGTTTAGTAAAATATTTGCTAATTGTTGATTTGTGTTAATATATTCAATTTTACAATCCCTTTTGATTATATGATCCTTGATAAAATGATGTCTAATTTCTATATGTTTTTATTCTAGAATGTATAATTGGATTCTTGGTTAGATTTATGGCACTAGTGTTATCACATTTCAAAGGAATATGTTCTAAATGTATATCATAGTCTTTTAATTGATTCTTAACCAAATTAATTGAGCACAACAACTACCTACAACTACTATTCAACTTCAGTAGTGGATAATGCAAGACAATTACTTTTCTTATCTATTTTACATCCTCTAGGATACCACAAACCAAGATTTATTGTACCTTTTAAGTATTTCAAAATCCCTTTAACATCACTTACGTGAGATTCCTAGGAGCATATTAAAATCGTGCACAAATACAAACATTATGCATGATATCAAGACGACTAGATGTTAAGTATAGGAGTAATCCAATCATACCTCAATACATAGTTTGATTAACCAACTTACCATTTATATAATTGTCTTGATAATAGTTTGTAACCATTGGGGTTGTGGATTCCTTATAGTTTTTC